AGTTCCAGCGTCTGTTCAAAAGCATGACTCTCCAGATCCCATGATGTAGAACTTGCTTTTCTAGTGGTTTCTACATAATAGACTTTTGGAGAGGAAATCCAGCATTCAATTAACTGGATAATTTCCACAGAAGACATTCTTTTCTATGCGCCATTGGGTATAATGGATGGAGTTCACAAAAGCAAAATTCATGAAAACTTTCACACATGAAGAATCAATGAGGGCAGAAATGAAATCAGTCTACACTAGTTTTCTTTCCCTTATATAGTGTATTCGTACACACAAATCCTGTTCTGCTGGACTACAATTTCTGCCATCCCAAAGTATCAAGCTGGGAATTATGGTATTTGTAGCCCATCATATGAGGGCTCCAGGACAAGGAAGGCTGTTTCAAGTATTATAATGAAGCACAACAATACAAAATTACCTCCTAAATCAGGCATGGGCAAACTTTGGCCCTCCAGGTATTTTGGATTTCAACTTCCAGAAATCCCAGCCAGCTTACCAGCTGTTAGGAATGGTGGGAGTTAAAGTGCAAAACATCTGGAGGGCCAAAGTTTGCCCATGCCTATCCTAAATAATAACCAGATGACTAGATCTGCTTAAATAATTAAATAGGATCCATGTTATTATTATATATTTAAAAGGCCAAATTTTGATATGAAGGCTGCTTCCATTTTGGAATACTATTTCAGTAGGCTTTGTAGTAGGGGCAATAGTGTGCCTTCAAGTTGTTTCTGACTTGCAGTGACCCTAAATTGGCCCTATCACAAGGTTTTCGTATATTCCTCTGAGGTTGAGAAAGTATGCCTAAGTTCACTCTGCAGGTTTCCACAACTCAGTGGGTTATTCAAACTCTGGATTTAGGAGTCCTCGTCCAGCACTTCAAGTCCAACACCACACCGGCTCCCAATTCAATATGTATTCTACTCCACAATCTTAATAAGGATAAGTAATAGATGAACTCCTAAAATATTAAACAACTTCTGTAAATCAGGGATGGGATTTTTTTACTGCTTTCTACTGCGAAAGGATCCTCTGACCCCTACAAAAACTGTACCCCTATTACTTTTGACCTAGGACAATAAAATTATCTGTCCTCCTGACCATGCTTAAGCCCCTCATCCAAGAAAATTAGAAAAAGGGTGCATAATCTTTTCAAATGAAAATCAGTTTAAAACATGTTTTTCAACCACACTGTTGTAGGCAAATCTGGGTCTTACCCTCCTTAACATGATTCCGAGTATTACAAATGTTGGACTCTAAGAATCCACAGCCTACTAATCTGCAACCTCTACTAATTGTGGATTATCATGTCCTATAAATAAAATAGCAGCAACGCGAATGTGATTGTGCTGAAGAATCTAAATACATGTCACTACCATTTTCAGCATTCATTCATTCCCTCTATCTATCTATCTATCTATCTATCTATCTATCTATCTTTTTCTCTTTGGCATCAGTGGGTGTCCCAGAGTCCTCTGCAGACACACATGCACACACCAACTATAAAAACTTCTATGTTTCTATTACGAAGAATACAAGATAATCAGACTCCTATAGCCTCGTCTCGATCTTTCTCAATACCTTCCCTCGCTAGTACATAATTATTACAAAAACTACCAATGTAAGTAATTGAGAAGACATTTGAGCAATGAGGGGGGAACTACTTATTTATGTACAACATAGTACTATTAGTGAAATACCTACAAAAATACAAAGGTGCCATTAGGATGATGCTGTGTTTTTAATGGATAGGGAACGAGAATGCTAACTATTCCTCCTTTTCTCTCCACCAGACTATATACCAGAGGTGTATAAATGAATACCCTCCACTTATTTTGGGCTATATCCCATATAATCATTGGCCAAGTCAAAAAGAAGTGTTCAACGCATCTGAAGAGCAGTAGCTTACCTATTCCTGTGTTATGTTTATTTATTTCCCTTTTTTCATGCTCTGGATCCACTCTACAGAGGCATGAAGTGCTCTATGTTCTAATCAAAATTAGTAAAACACTGGAAATTGGATCAGATACGAATCCTGTTTAATATGGATAGAAAAAAACCCATGAGAGACCAAAGTAAAGAAATGTGGAGGTCTATAAGCAGGCTCCCTAGACACAAATACTACCACACAACACTGTCCAAAACTTGTCCCAAACCGATCTTTAAATTGTATTAAATTTGGATTAAATGACCCCCCCCCCTTCCTTTCCCTGTTTTTCAAAGAGCCACTTTAGCAATGTGTTTGGGAGGCTGTTATATCCATTGAGAGCTATCATTCATGGCTGCAAAGCAAAAACTGAACTCTCAAAGTTACATAGTTCTTACATTTAAAATAAGTAAGAAAGGGGAGGGCATGTATAAATACAGAACAGCATGGATTTGGAGGAGTCATGTCCATGCAACTCTGCTAAAGTCAACATGCTTTGGGCTTTCTCAAAGGGCTTCAAAATGTTTTGTATGGCAAGAAAAAGGGGCGAGACAGGCATTTTCTCATCTCAGGCAACACGGGTTTACCATAGCAGAAGTCATCTTAGGAGACATATGTGACAATGTTCTGAAAATTGAAAAAACAATGTTTCCATCTCAAACTGCTCAAAGATTTTCTGTCACACAAGCATGACAAAACTACAAACATCAGAGCATTGCAAAAATGAAAGAACTTGAGTTTATTAATCTTAGAGAAAGAACTTTATTCAAAATATACTGCTCAGAATATCCAAGTGCATTCAGCAAGTTGGACAATATAGAAGCATCTCAAATAAATAAAGGCCACCTAGTGAGTAAACTGTTATTCCCAGTGAAAGGGAGAATTAACACTGCTTGAAAAACCCTATCAGGCCCAGCCAACTTACACAAAATGCTTTCAACTTTGGCAATGCTAACAGTTATTCATTTCTCTTTTTTCTCAAAAATATTCAAAGTCTCAGGCTATAATATTATTCGTCTGGCAGTCAGCATAAAAAGGAAAAAAATGCAAAATTCATTAAGCACCCTAAATCGAAAGGATCTGTCAACGGCATGGAAAAACAACAAAGAAGACTTTTCAATAATGATACTCAGCACTTCTGCTAGTCCATAAAAGAAAGAAAAACACACAACAAAGAGACAGACTTTGTTTCAGGCTTTTCTGAAAATTATGTCTCATTCTAGTTTCGATTCAACTTGTTAGGTTTTCACCTGTTTCGCTTAACACACACTAATAACAGGTGGAATAAAACCACACTTAAAGGAATTATGACTAACATTAAAGTAATATGCATCCTACATGTTTCATCTTGTATTAGCAGCTTTTGTCTAGGAGATGAGGAAAACTTTTGACTCTTAATGCTTGCAAAACAGAAATCACACACTTCTCTATTTTACTTAATTTAAGTATGAATTTTAAGAATGATCAGAAAGAACAGAAAGTTTAGTCAATTATTAATAGCAAAATCCTTTGAATCTTTACAGGTATTACAGTTACATGTACCAAGAAATGAAACTTAAGCAGGCTGTAAAATGAAAATAAATCAGGTGCGGGCAATTTTGGCGAGCCCTAAGCCCATGTTGATCTTCTCCCCAAAACCCAACATGGGGCTGTGCAACTCCCTTCCACCCAAATCAGAAGGGACCATATCAGCGAAATCTTAAGACACATATTCACGTGCCTGGGATCACAATCCTCCTTATTGCAAAGGGGAAAAAAATAATATGGTGGGGTGTGTTTGCATTTGGTCCGCACACAGAAAAAAATACCTCTTACACTACTAGAACTGACCATACATGCAAGCCTTTAATTTTTCCAATGTAATTGGATATCTATCCTCTGTTTCTTTTTTTAAAAAAATAATTTTTATTAAGATATTTCTAAATAACATAAAAAGTAAAAGGGGGATTGTCTATCCTCTGTTTCTATACAGAAAACAAAGCATTCCAATTGACAGCATCAGGGTGGATGGAAGCAAAACTTTTCATCTCACCTTATTTCTCTGCAACCCCTTTTGTTAGTAATTCCACAGAGCAAGGAGAAAAAATTAGGACATACGCAGAACGACTGCGTTGAGTGGGTGCCTGAGACATAAACTCCAAGCAATTTGGCAAATAAGTTGCAAAATTTATATAAAGTACAGATCATAGATTGTAAGCAGTAACTAAACCACAGTTTCCCAATTTGCATTAATGGTAAACTATAGTTTAACATGTCAGTGCAGAAGCACCAAAGTTTGACATGCGAGAGAAAGAGAAACAAATGAAAAGAGGTGCAAACAGAAGCCAATAAATACTACTCGAATATAAGCAGAGTTTTTCAGCCCTTTTTTCATGTTAAAAAAGCCCCTGTTGGCTTATACTTGAGTCAATGTTATTTATTATTTTACTCTGTTATTATTATTACATTTGTTATTTTACTCTATTTATTATTATTATAAGTAGAGTAAAATTTGTTTGCCCAATTTTTTGTTTTAAAATTAGGTGCTTTGGCCTATATTCGAGTCAGCTTATACTGAAGTATTTAGGGTATTAGATGGCTTGTCATGTTAGGACTACAGTTTGAAGCTGGCCTTGGAGTCAGAACGCTTATTTCAGCTGGGCTGCAATTTATGGTTCATATTGTTCAAAAAGGTAATTAATGAAATGTCCAAGTGAGAACTGAGAGTCTTTTGGGGCTCTTCAAGTTAAGTCCCTGGTTTTATAATGAAAAATGCTTATCCTTCTGAGAATAACATATTCATGACTGTGAAACAAAGCTTCAGTATATTTAATTACTGCACAAAGGGAAAGGCTTTAGCAATGAAATACTTGTCTTTACTGAAACCCTTCCTGCTACCCAACTATTAATAAAAGATTTTTTTTTCATATTACATCAGGAAGCCGCATGTAATTTTCTACAGTTGTACTTATAACTGACTCCACGCTTAAGGGATGGGAAGGTAACTAAATGCTACTACTGAGTTTCTGCCAGCAACAGCATTTAGTAGAAAAATGGGATTATCTTTGAAAGTAATAGAGTTGTTTACCAGGGCTTGAAGCATGCCATCCATTACAATAGCCCCCTCCATCGTCTGAAAGGAGGATTTAGACAAGGTTGAAAGGGTCCAGTCCAGGAAGTCTGCCATTCTTTTTTGTTTGACATCAGGGCGGGTTATAAACCTATCATAAGGGAGAGAGAGAGAAAACACTGCAGGTTACCTATTCAGGGCAATTCAATCAGTAACTCATTCTTCCTGTTAGCCAAACTGGTTTTTGTTCCCAAAGGCAATTGTCCAATGGATGCTTTCCAACATATTTTGGCAGGGAACATTCCAGCTCTCGGCTCTCTTTTTCTTTCTTTTCTAAAGAAGGTCATAACAGAGAAATCTAAACAGCCACACTGTATACGTAAAGTGTCTTAAAATCTGGTTGTGAGGGGGAGACAGAAATACATACAGCCAAAACTTGATCATTATTTGAAAACAATTAAGAATAATCATATGCCCCGACTTCTTTCAACCCTTTATTTATAATCAGGTGTAGTGCTTTGAATGTCTTACACTTCTACTATCAAAAAAACTGGTCACACACCAAGGAATTGGGTCACATGGAGACAAAGTGACCTGCTCTGTCTTTCTGCGTTGCTAGAAAAGTCTACAAATATCTAGAATGACAAAAAGGAAGCAGAGCAAATGATATCTTACTTTGTTCTTCCAAAGTGCCATTGCCACAAGTCCTAGTCTATCCCAGTTTATCAAAGAAATGAGCAGTTTCCCACTTTCTTCTCACCAAGGCCAGCATAGACTGTAATTCATACCTATATTGATATCTCATTGTGGGTTTTTTTAAAACAAATACAAACTGTATGCAATACACAAAATCAACTACTTTACCATATCAAAACATGTATGAGCAAGAATTCTAAGGTGTTGCCATATTACCCTGGAATATCAGTATGCAAAGGGATTTTGTAGCACCACAGAGACTAACAGAGAATGAAGTTTCACAGCCTGCTTCCTCACTTGTGAGCTCTATGGATGAGCTAAAACAGACTTCCTCAAATTTCCACTAGAGGTCAGTAGAAACCAATAGAGGCTGAGTATCCCTTATCAGAAATGCTTGGAATCAGAAGTGTTTTGGATTTCAGATTTGTTCGGATTTTGGAATGCCTGTATTTGCAAATCATACATAATAAAATATCATGAGACCAAGTCTAAACAATTAATTCATTTATGTTCCATATACACTTTATTATACCATAGTCAGAAGGTAATTTTCATGCACAACATTTTGTAATAATACAGTTTGTGTACATTGAAACACAAGGAAGCAAAGATGGACAGTTTTTCATTTTCGAGTATTGCAGGTTTCAGAATTCCACACAAGGGATGCTCAGCCTGTATTTACCTTACTCCAATACTAATTTTCTATTTAACAGCATATAACGTAAGTTCTCTGAAACCATCACTTTCCTATGGAGGCTTCAGTCACATTTGTAATGGATTTTTACTTTATAACCAAGACAGTGATAATCCAACTAATTCTTAACTTCCAAAATGTGTTGTCATTCTATAATCAGAATAAACTCTGTATACAGTAAGGAATAAATTGCCAAAAAGGATGCACTTCCCACAACCCCATGACACAATTTATCTACAAGAATGTGGAAAATGGAACTCCTGCTCTCATAAGAAGGTTCAATATAAAGGTGGGAGGAGATTCTAAAACCCTGGGCATTATTGTGCAGGCACATTAATGTAAATGAGTCTTAGATTTCACTAAAGAACTAACTGTTATCTCATTATACATTTGGGCTGTTAAAGGAGAACTTGATCTACAAAGCCTTTGCATATTGAATTCAGGTGATTAAGTGCAGAAACAATTGGTCAAAATGGTGACGCTGAGAAAAAAAGAGGGAGATGCCAGCTGCTTGAAGCTATAATGCATGAAAGGTTGGAGTGTTATCAAACAACCCAATGTGGACTAAGCATGCTCTGTGACCTCCAGAGGTCACTGATCTGTCAAGTGCCAGTCACAAAAACATAAACAGATTTGAGGAGAGGAAGGAATTGGCCTTATGGCTTATCAGATAGCTAGCAGACACTCTGAACAAGCTACCTTACATATTTTTGGGATGAAAAAGGTGCATTCTAATAATCATCTACAGTATTTAAATGCAGTCAGTGTTGGACTAGCCTTAAATACTGCCTAGAACTACAGAAATTCAAAATAAAGTGGTTATGTGGTAATCTGTACACTCTACAAAGAACCTAGTCCCATTTTCAATAAACCTCTTGGTTCCAAAAAAAAAAAAAAACTAAATAGTTTCAGGCCATGACAACTTAGAGATAATGGTGATTTGGTTGATGTTTTGATATATTCAGAATGGATTTGTGTTAATCTGCTACTGATTTATCTATTTGGCATGCCACCTTGGATTGTCACTGGACTGAGGGTGAAGACCTGACTGTCTAACGAAATTCACAAAATGCATACATTTTTATCCATATCAGAAAAACAATTACTCACTTTGAGACCAAGACTGCAGCTGCATCTCGTGACTTGTCACTCACAATAAGGTAAGACTAAAAAGAAATAACAGAGTTACAAGACTTTACCGCATTGAAGATATCATGCAGAATACTTAAGACATTCTGTTATGGTACTGTGAGTGTTAGACTTAGGAAGGCCAAGGTTCAAACAACCTCTCAGCCATGGATGACCGTGGGAGATTCACTCAATCTCAGTCTGAGAAGAAGGCAATGATAAAACTTCTCAGAACAAAAGTTGTCAAGGAAACCCTGCGATAGGCTTGTCCTAAGTTTGCCATAAGATGGAAATTACCTGATGTACACAACAACAATACACAACATCTGAATGCCAATTCTTCTCATGTAAAGACAGTTATAAACCATGAAAAAATAAATATCTAAATCTTATGGAAAGTTAATTCATTATTTACATGAATTAGAAAAGATATGTAGAAGGTAAAGGAGTCCAATTAGCCATAGTGATTTGGTTTTTCATTATTCTTTTTTCCCCCATAAGCCTTGTCTGGTCCTACTCGTGCTCCGAGCACACTCTTGACCTTATTTTTCTGTATAGGATGGGATGATGGTGATTGTAGTTTGCAAGAATTTTCCATAGTTCTGTTGTACTGGACTGGTCAGGTTTAGACTCACTGGGACTCTGCAAGGGTGGGGGGCCAATTAAGATGGTCAACCCTAGGAGGCTTATGGATCTAGATGGATTCCTGATAGCTCTTGGTGATTTTCCTGTCACCTCAGCTGGAGATTCTGTCGAAGCCCTGGCTGGCCTCTAGAATGGAGAAATGGCCAAGGTAGTGGACACAACAGTTCCTAAATATCCCCTCTCAAAGAGCAGAGCCAAACCAGTCCCATGGCTTTTCAAAGAGCTAGCGATTATGAAGCATTGAAACGGAGACAAGAGCAATGACAGCAGAAAGCTCAAAGTGAATAAGACAAAGCAAGAACTAGAGTTTATTATTTGAAAGCCTACTCCGTGGTAATGGAGGCAACAGAGAAAGAATTTGCTCTATTTTCTCCAACATGGATGCTGTATAATGAGTGTTATTTTTGGTTTAAATATGGATCTGTGAGGGTTTTGGGTGGGGTGGTTATTTGTTTGCATGTTTTTCTTTTGTACAGTATTGAATGTTTGCTGACTTTGTTGTTCACCACCCTGAGTCCCTTCAGGGAGATAGCACAGTATATAAAGTATTGCTATTATTATTATTTGAAACACAACAGGATTAGTATACAGCAAACAAGATCACTATGCTGGCTTTTGTATTTGATCACATGCCAGACACTTTCCAAGTGTCTACAACTGTGTGATGTATTGGCGAATAATGCACACAGATCTGAGTAAGGTGGTCTTTTGTAGCTGACAGATGGTAATTTTGTCAGCGCCGATTGTTTTGAAGTGCAGGCCAAGGTCTTTAGGCACTGCACCCAGTGTACCAATCACCACTGGGACCACCTTTACTAGCTTGTGTCAGAGTCCTTGCAGTTAAATCTTTAAATACTCAGTTATTTTATTGATTATTATATTACTGGTGGAGTGGATCAGTGAAGTGATTAATGCCTCCTTACATCAAGACGGGGTCCCCACAGGCCTCAAGGAGGTAAAACCTCTTCTAAAAAAAAACCTTCCCTAGACCCTTGACAACTACAGACTAGTCTCCAATCTCCCATTTCTGGGAAAGGTGCTGGAGCATGTGGCGGCCTCCCAACTCCAAGGTTTTGTGGTTAATTAATTATCTGCAGTATCTAGCTAACTATCCATCCATTTATTTGCTTTTGTGGCTTAGTTTGATTTGAATTGCTTTTTAATCTACTCCCAACTACATTGAGCCAACTAGGGTAAGTATAGTAAAATATTAGCAAACTAAAGCAACAAATCCTCATTTCCAATGACATATCAATATACAGTAAAATAAAACACATGACATGTTACTGCTCCGTCGTGAACTTTCACAGTCCATATTTCGAACACTATGAAATGAGGTGGGTAGAAAAACTCAGAGCAAGACATCCAGGGTATGTAGGAAAAGCTGTTTCTAGCAGCCATAACACTTCTCCAGGAACATCAGTTTCTCAGGTTTGTACTTTACTGAAGATGGGCAGTGGTTTCCGTATTGGATAACATTTTTTCAAAATTCTCATACTTACCATATTCAGGATGGGAAAAATTAAGACCACCAACATTCAAATAACTGATTTAGATAAATGTGTCCATTTAGACCCAGGACTCTGAGCGCTTATGTCTTGGGCGTCAATAAAAATACAGCTGACCCACAAGTCTGCTAAATGAACGTTGCCCATTTTTCTCTCACACATTGATCTTCCTTAACTCCTATACAGCCGCATCATTTTCTCCATGTTAAGAATAACTAACTGTACATGTTGATTGTAGACAGTATAACTCGGATGAATTTTGTTTCACCTCATTTTTGAAAAATTTACTGAAAGTTACAAATTGCGTGTTCAGGACAGAAAGAACTTGAGGTTTAAATAGTTTAAATAGAAGAGCCGTTCAAATTCACGTTTGCACTGTTACGATAAACTTACAAGTAAAGTACCCTGGATCATCATACATTCCATGTCATAAAATGCATAAAGCTTTTACAACGTAAAGAAAACACCACAGATCATAATGGTATTGTCTAACTAAACTCACTTTTGCCACTGTGAGGATACGGTCCATTGTTGATGCACGAGAGCCTCCTTCTATGGAAGAGATATTTCCATCCAGCCGTGCCAAATCAAATGGAATCAGGCATGTTACAGACAACCATAACAAGAGCATGTATCGAGTCTCCCAGGTCTAGCAAGGTAAAAAGAGGAAAAATACATTTTCAACACAAAATAAAAGCTGTAAAATATATATTCAAAGCACTCAGAAGGCTTGCAATGTACCTATGTGAAACTATCCAGAAACACAAAATATAGATTAATATTAATATATCAAGGGAGAAAAAGACTTTAGAATTGTTAAGATTATGTTTGAGTCTAATGGGATTTGCTTTCTACTGAACATAAAAACAACTTTAGCATATATTTAATTGGAACCAGTCTCTAATGTAATATTTTAGTCATCCCTAACAACAATCCTAAGCCCCATGACCATGAATGCTGCCAAAAAAAGTTCAGGGTTTCTAAAGACACATGCAAACATAAGGTAGACATTTCATGAAAGCTCCATAAATGGGAGGGTTCCACTCCCAGATCTTTTTGTCAAGATCACTGCTTATATTTTTCAGACTGCAACTTTCTAGACGTTTAGAAACCAGTGTAAATTGCAAAGATACAAATACATCTTCAAGAAGAGGAAAAGCTATTCTAGTAAAAGGATTTATAATGCAGACAAACCTAACATGCCTTTAATGTTTCACAACATGAATGACAGTATGAACAGAATCATACCATTGACCTCTCGAGTTCAACTGACATGATTGACTGGCAGTGGCACCCCAAGGCTTCAGGCAGAGTCTTCTCACAATCTTAGTTAGAGAAGTTAGGAATTTAATTTGGGATCTTCTGCAAACCACTGAGCTATGACAACACACCACGTACATTTGACAAAATGTACCTACAGACTGAGCATCACTAATCCAAAATTCTGAAATCCAAAATGTGCCAAGATACAACATTGCCAACATGGTAGATGAAATAGTGATGCCATTCTAAAGGCTCAATATAGGAAAATCTAGTTTCATGTGCAAAAAGAATTTAAAACATTGTATAAAATTATCTTCAGGGTATGTGTATAAAGTATACATGAAACATAAATGAATTTCACATTGTAACTTCTGTCCCATTCTTCAAGATATCTCATTATGTAAGTATAAGCAGTCCAAGTTATAAACCAGATAGGTTCTGTAGGTTTGTTCTTAAGTTGAATTTATTTGTAAGTCAGAACAAGTACATTTTTCAGTGTAACTCCAGCTGAGTGTGTGTGTGTGTATGCATATGTATATATGTATGTATGCAAGCTTTGGAGAGCATAGGGAAGGGTTAAAACCCCTGTGGTGTTTGTTTTGCTATCTGTGCCCCTGTTCGGAAGATTTCACTTCACTTTCTGTCTCTGTGGTATTTGGATATTGAAAGATTTGGCTTGTTGTAGAAACAAGGATTGGTGGGAAAGCTTCAGTGGAGATACCTTTTCCCCATGAAAACTCTTTCAGGTGTGGATTTCCCTTTCTGAGGCAGATTTCTCTCACTTTCTGTTGTCTCACCCCCGTTCTTTATCCTGCAAATCTCCTGGGAAGACAAGTGGACAAACGTCAGCGTGCTGGAAGAAGCAAAGACCACCAGCATTGAAGCGATGGTCCTCTGCCATCAACTCCGCTGGGCTGGCCACGTTGTCCGGATGCTTGACCACCGTCTCCCAAAGCAGTTGCTCTACTCTGAACTTAAGAATGAAAAACGGAACGTTGGTGGACAGGAAAAGAGATTTAAAGATGGCCTCAAAGCCAACCTTAAAATCTCTGGCATAGACACTGAGGACTGGGAAGCCTTGGCCCTTGAGCGCTCCAGGTGGAGGTCAGCTGTGACCAGCAGTGCTGCAGAATTCAAGGAGGCACAAGTGGAGGGTGAAAGAGAGAAACGTGCCAGGAGGAAGGCACGTCAAGCCAACCCCGACCGGGACCGCCTTCCACCTGGAAACCAATGCCTTCACTGTGGGAGAAGATGCGGGTCAAGAATAGGGCTCCACAGCCATCTACGAATCCACAAGGAAACCCATCATGGAAGACCATCTTACTCATCCAACGAGGGATCGCCTAAGTAAGTAAAGTCTTAACTATAAATCGTTTGTAATTTGAACGTCTGTAACGACTGCTTGCATATAGAAATATAGGGTTTTCAAATTCCAGGACACTTCTGGTCACAGGAATTTTGGATAAGAGATATTATTCCTATATTTATTAATACTTCCTACTATCCAATGCTAGATTAGCAACATGGTCTCCAAACAAATACATCTTACCAGCTATTCGTTATTTATCTGCTCAGGTTGTCACATACATTTTTGCAGATACAATTCCTCTGTATGGTACAAAGAAAAAAGAACTCACCATATAGTCTTTTGGATTCTGACACACAAGCATATCCAAAACAGGTTGCATATCAACTACCTCGTGAGGAAACAGTCGTAGGAATGTTTTATATCCTCGAACCTAATAAAATTAAAAGTTCTCATAAGTAAAAATCAAAAATTATATTTGAGATACTTATAGGATAAAACCCAAGATACCTTTCAGTATCAAAATGTGCAATATACAGCTCAAGTGTTCAATGAAGGCCAAAAGAAGATAAATAATACACTAACTTTAACAATAAAATAGACCAGTAAAGACAATAAGGCAAAATAAATAACAATAATAAAAGAATATTTGAGGCTAATTGTCCCCACAGTGAAAATATGTTCCACAAGTGTGGGCCTACTATCTAAATAATCCTCTCGTTTATGCATCTAAAGCATAATGGTTTGGATGGGTGAGCAAGGAAGACCTTAGAGACTGATTCAACTGTGCCATGGGATGGAAAAGTGATTCTTCTGGTAATATTCAGAACTTTAAACTGGTCTATGAAATTAACTATTTTGTAAATATTTAAGGACATAATAGTAAGAAAAGTAATTTGAATTTGTTAACAATCAGAAGTATCCAAGATGAGTATACTGAGACTGTCATACTTGGCCATATTATGGGAGGATATATCTTACTAAAAATATGGATTGACTCAATCAATGATGCAACAGATGTCCTGAGTCTACAAGACCTATACAGGGCCCTGGAGATCTATTATTCATGAGGTGACTACTTCACAGCAGTCAACAACAACCACAAATCGCATGCAAATTACCAGAAGATGCATGTTCACATCTTCTATGTGAACATGCAACATGCTATGTTCAATTGTCACCAAAGGGATAAAGCTGCTTAGGCTTTACTACCTCAGAAGTGAAATGGGAGCTTACAAAAAAGGAGCTTACATAGAAAATTGACCTGTAATGGAGAAAACTAAGCTAGAGGGTTTTTATGTGATGTAATATTTTCCTATGATAAATTATCTTTATCCTTTCCTAGAAGAGATGAGCGATTTTCTAATTCTATCACATTATAATCAGAACCTTAATTATAATTGGAAACTTCAGCTGGTTCAAAGAGCTGCAACCAGGTTACTCACTGGGGCTGGCTACAGGGAGCAGACAACCCCACTGTTGAAGCAGCTTCACTGACTGCCAGTCTGTTACTGGGCACAATTCAAAGTGCTGGTTATGACCTTTAAAGCTTTAGATGGTTCAGGTCCAGGCTATTTGGCCAACCGCATCCCCTTGTACAAACCTACCCGGGCTCTGAGATCTTCAGGAGAGGTCCTTCTCTCGGTTCCACCTCCATCTCAAGCTCTGTTGGTGGTGGGAACGAGAGAGTGAGCCTTCTTTCTCAGTGGCTGCCCCTCGACTCTGGAACTCAGACAGAAGGTTAAAACCTTTTTTCAGGCAGCCTTTTAAAGAAGAAGTTTTTTAAGATTGTCAGGAGATGCTGTGATTTTATATGCTTTTAATTACGATTAATACTCTTGTAATACTTGTATATTATATACTTTAAGTTGTATTACAATGCTTTTAGTTGTGAGCTACTTTGAGTCTCCATATGGAGAGAAAAAAATGGAATATAAATAAACATAATAATAAACATAATAATAATAATAATAATAATGTATGAATTCAAAATGTTACACACACATCCCTGGGATCCAGGGATCCCTTCGGGGAGAGAGTGTGGATTATAAATAAAGTTGTATTATTATTATTATTATTATTATTATTATTATTATTATTATTATTATTATCCACTGTAGAAGAATGACTGTTTATACACAGAAGTACCTAAAGTGACATTCTACACCTGAACTGAAGAGCCAGCATGGTGTAATGGTTGGACTGTTGGACTTTGTAGACCAGGGTTCAAATCCCTGCCTCAGACATGGAAAACTACCGGGTGAGCTGAGATAAGTCATACTCTCTCAGCCTCAGAGGGAGATAAAGCCTACCCCACTCTGAACAAATCTTCCGAAGAAAACTTCATAATATGGTGCCTTGGCATCGACAAAAACTGGAAAGGACTTGAAAGCATACCAGAATTTTTTAGGGATTTGGCATCTAAATCAGCATGTGGTCCATCTAATTTTTTCATCTCTTCCAATTATATATAATTGTATAGATAGTTTAAGTACTATTTGCATTTTTATTTGTATGTATAATTGGTAAGATGCACTTACTATTCATTTTGGGGGGAAATGTAGTAAAAAAACAAATAATAATATGATGGTGATGTAATATTGTATTAGGAAACATAAGAGTTTTAAACGTAAGTCTGAATTTCTCTCTTTAACTAATGAAATTAACATTAATGGCAGACACTACTCAGAACAGGATCAACCAATTATGTAGTTTCTGAAACAAATACAGGTCACAATGGCTAAAACGACCACAACTTTAAATAATTTACTCATTTATATCATCTGATAGTAACAATTAAACTACATATATAATTAAAATCCATTTTTACCTTTGAAATGATGTAGAGAAATTGAAAGGCCAGATGAATTAAAGATGGGGGAGAAGATTCATCTCGGATAATATCTAATAGCAACTTCAGCATGCACTCTAGAAGAAACACAAGAAAAGATGGATGGGATAGAGAAAGAATAAGTTTGCAAACATATTCAGAAACATGAATTCCAAGTTTAGGTGAAACTTATAAATTATTATTTCACTGTCTCCCATGGCACAAATTTGCAATTACACAGGAGCATTCAGGGAAGAATTAAAGGATGTTCAAGAGATCTCTGCCTCTTCCTTGAAGCCTCTATGATGAATTATTTTCCACTTGGAAAAAAAATCACAAAGCAATATGCTTTCCATTTTCACTTTTCAATTTTCAGGGAGCACTATATCAATGACTAGAAACACTGGTAAGGGGTAAAAAGGCTGCTGTGGGAAGCCAAAAAAATTATATCCATTTTAGAAGAACCTTGAATATAGAGATTTATCCCCCCACTCTTGCAAGTATTTCTTCCTTGCCAACTAAACATGTAAGATTTTTTAAGAATTTATATTTATATATACATATATAAATAGCTTACCTAAATGAGAATCCAAAAGATGAGGCTGTTCTTGGTACTTGTCCATTATAACTAAAAGAGGAAATAATCAAAGATCAATCAGTTTCACAATGTTATTAAAGCAATCTGTGAACTACCAAACCTAAAGAGACGTCCTTCCTGTGAGGTCTCTGGATTGTATTAAAGCTATAACATTGTGGCCCATCTACTACAACTGCTACAGTTGGTAGTCAGAGTCAGGTAATTTTGTTGTGGTGGTTTTGTGCTGTCAATATTCTTGATTTTGCTATTGGAAAAATAACAAAATGTACTGTACAGTTGCTCCTCCAATTTCACAGAAATTAGGGATGAATCTCCCCTGAAAAAATGGAAAAATTGCAAATATCTCCAGCAGAGGGGAATGTGGCATCACTGCCGCAGTCCCCAAGGAGAAAAGGAACCAGTCTCCCTTACCTTCAGATCCCAGTTCATTTTCCTCCACCTATGTGATGCCCATCACTCTCTTTCACCCGGCCAAAAGGAAAAAAATATACTGAGAGGACCAGAAACATGCCGCAAACCAGAAAAAGAAAAGGCACTCACCCTATGAGTGCCTGCAACATCATTTAGCCAGCAGCCCTGATTCCCCATCCTCTTCCTGTGTGCCACATGTGCCTGTTCCCTCTGGTACTTTCTTTCTTTTGCAAAGGCAGAATATTCTGAGAGGACCAGAAACATGCCACAAACCATGGAACAAAGGAAGAGGAGGAGTAGGAGGAGGCACTGGGTCTGAGGATAATTTAAAAATGTTCAGGCCGGCTCCTACTATCCCCTGCATACCACAAGTCTGTTTCACCAAGGCAAAGGAAGGGAGACACTGGACAGAACAAAAATGGAGAACAAACGCCTCCAGAACAGCCTCCTCGCTCACCTTCTAAGGACAGGGTTTGATGAGGAGGAGGCATTTCAAATTCACAAATACTCAAAGCCATGCATGCAAAACCTGCAAAAGTGGAGAACCAACTGTAAAATAGAAAAAAAAATATTTGGCACTAGAATGACAATATAGGTGGCAAGGGCTACTAGATTTTTATTTTATTTATTTTTTTGGCCAGGCAGAAAAAACTCAACATCTTGCCCACACCTCTTCCTCTCCATCTTCTTCTTGCAGTTTACTTTTCTTCCAAAAGCACCAGCCACAATTAAAATCTGGAAATTGATGTGTTGGTTTTGTCAGAAGAACAGGAATTTGGAGGGGGAGGAAGGGCCTTCTATTCATTGATTTTCAACTTTTGTGGTGCTCCTATACCTCTAACCCTGTGAATATGAAGGGCCTACTATAACTAATTAGTAATTTTCATATATCAAAATTGGTACAAGTTATTGTACAACAAATGAAAGTTTGTGAGGGACTGTCCTGACTAATGCCATCTACAGAACAACTCAGCCATTCTTTTTCTCTATCTAATGGGTGTGACTCCCTAGTAAATGTTTTAAGTAAGTGGGTTCTATTGAATTTCATTCATATGACCTGGATCCTATTCACAATGCCAAACAGAATACAATTATGAATCAATAGTTGAATTGAAAAATACCACCAAAATACATATTATTATTATTATTATTACTATTATTATTATTATTATTATTTATACCCCCTTTATTTCTCCTGAAGAAAACTCAAAGGAGATTTACATTAAAAGCATTGCCATGCAATTAAAAATATACAAATATGCAAACTTTCAGTGGGTCTGTTTTAGTTTAGGTCTACCATGGGATTCAGAGTTCAATTAATAAAAGCCACTTTAACCGTAATGCTAGCAATATCTAAAAGAAAACCCCAATTAGTTGCATGTACTAAAAGGAAACATTCGCACCTTTAAATTTTTCAAGTACTGCTTCTCGCAATGCCAGATTTTCATGCACTAATCTGAGATTATGAATCATCTCCTGTGTTTCTTTATTCTCTGTAAAACTCTCAAGGATGTTTCCTTTGGCAATGACATCAGGCTCCAGCAATCGGTTGTCCTCTTGTTCAGATCCTCCATTGTCCATCTCATTTAAAACCATTTTATGCTCCAAACAAATCTTTCTCTAAAAAAAATAGAAGAAAACAACAGTTGCACTGACATTAAATTCACTGTTCACACAAGTCACAAACAACACATTAAACTTGTCCATTATTTTATAGAATCATAGAGTTGGAAAATCCACAAGGGCCCTCCAGTCCAATCCCATTCTGCCATGCAAGAATGCACAATCCAAGGACTCCTGACAGATGCCCATCCAGTCTCTGCATAAAAACCTCCAGAGAAAGGGACTACACCGGACTCCGAGGCAGCAGCATATTCCTCTGATGAACAGTCTTTGGGCCCTTCCACACAGCCATATAACCCACAATATCTGCTTTGAACTGGAATATCTGAGTCCACACTGCCATATATCCAAGTTCAAAGCAGATAATGTAGGATTTTATTCAGTTGTGTGAAAGGGGCCTTACTGTTGGGGAAATTCTTCCAGATGTTTAGGTGGAGTCCCTTTTTCCTGCCATTGGAATCCTTTGCTCAGTGTCCTCTCCTCCTCAATGTGACATCCTTTCAATTTGAAAAACATGGTTTAAATGTTTCCTCTTGGAGAAAAAAGTATTGACATGGGACATGACAATGTTCTCTTTCTTTCATTCAAAAATGAAACAAAAACATAGAGCAACGTTATTTTTGCTTTGTATTTTTGTTGGGCTGTTTATAAAATAAGCAGAAACTGGGCATCCAATGGAATCCACTAGAGGTCACAAGGCTCTAAATCAGGAATAGGCAAACTTCAGCCCTCTAGGTGTTTTGGACTTCAACATCCACGATTCCTAACAGCCTCGGGCCCTTTCCTTTTCCCCAACTCAGCTTAAGCAGCTGTGGGGGGAAAAAGAAGGGCCTGAGGCTGTTAGGAATTGTGGGAGCTGAAGTCCAAAACACCTGTAGGGCCCATGTTTGCCCAAGAATATTGTTTATGGGGGGGGGGGGAGGCTGATGTATTTGGATTTGAACATGCAATGGCCCCATGGAATGTCCAGGATTCCCCCCCCCCCCCCACACACACAAAAATCCATGGAAGACTTCTTAACTCCTGCATCTCTGGATGCAGGAGTTATGGATACCAAGGGCCAATTGTATTGTCAAAGATTTCTTTGGGGCTCTGAAGAAACCATGCTCAGAAATTTCTGAACCAGTCTTTCTCAAACCCTTACCTGAAATGCTTGGGACCAGCATTACTTTGTATCCGCCCCCCTTCCCAGATTTTGGAATATCCCTATCTGCATTTATAACAGGAATGGGCAAACTTGGGCCCTCCAAGTATTTTGGACCAACTCCCACAATTCCTAACAGTCGGTTGGCTGTTAGGAATTGTGGGAGTTGGAATCCAAAACACCTGGAGGGCCCATGTTTGCCCATGCCTAATCTATACACACAGTGAGATACCTTGGAGACAGGACCCAAATCTAAAGGTGAAATTCATTTCTGTTTCACATGCATACACCTTATACAGAAACTCATGTCATATACTGTCTCAACTACTGCTCCATCCTCAAGAGGCACCCCCCCCCCCCCCCGCCCTTAATGAAGGCCTAACTCTACTGTTCCGGTCCTTTTGAGTTCCTCCTTCAGAAACCCATTCTCCCCCAGAAACACATTCTACATATCTCATCCAGAGTTTTCTCAATTTTATTCCTAGTATATTAGGCCCGCCCACTGTGTGCTATTTCTCTATAATGTTATTTTATTTTGTTATTTCATGTGTTTATTTTGATGGTATTTTTGCTTCTTGTATTTTATTTTGCTGTGCTGTCATTTTGGGCTTGGCCTCATATTAGCAGCCCCGAGTCCCCTTTGGGGAGATGGTGGCAGGTATAAATAAAGATTATTATTATTATTATTATATACAATATTTTGATAACTTGGTTCAGGTCACCAAGCTTGTGTTCAGTGAGCCTTCAGAAAGCAAAGGGATGCCCTTTCTCAGCATCCCATGTGGACCATTTGGGAGACTGAGGCTGAACTGGAGTCTGTGTGCCTTCATCTGTTTTGGACTCCAGCTCCCAGAAACCCTGCTCATTGGCTGAGGCAGCAGAGGCTTCTGGGAGATGAAGTCCAAAGGAGGACCAAAGAGTCTCTCTTCATTCATCAGTAATGCTTGCCCTCGCACTGGCCCTGCGGCTAAATATCCAGGCCCCGGAGATGCAGTATATAAATGAGGCGGGTTTGACAGTCTATTTCAGAGCCAGGCGGTGCCCTCCTTCATGAGCCCATGAGCCCCGCCCAGTTCGCATCCCGCTCCTTTCACAGGGTGGAAGCACTTCAGCGAGAGACAGTCTACTCAGCCCCCCTCCCCGCGCTTCCAATAGTCCTCCTGCCCAGCCACCCCCCTTTGTAGACCCCAATTGGTCTCGCCCAAGATCCGGCGCCTCTCTCTCCCCGTGATTCCCCGTTTACCTCAGCGACAATATTTCTTGTTGCCGCCTGCTAGAGCCGGGCCTCTTCAGTACGGCTCCCCACGAGGGTCAAAATGCCTGGAAACGACAGAGCTGAGGCACGGCCAAGTGGGTGGAGCCCACCGGGAGATAGAAAGCTGTGATTGGCTGATGCGAAGAAGGAAGGGGGGAAAAGACCCGGCAGTTGCTGGCAGAGGCAGCCACTCCAGACTGAGCGGTGAAGGAGGGACAATCTGGGTGACGTCATCGTCCCCAACAGTGATCGCCCCAGTCATTTTGGACTACAACTCCCAGAATTCCTGCCTGCGAGCCAAGCTGGCTGGGTCTTCTGGGTGTTGACGTCCACAACCTTGTTTTGAAGACCACTATGCCAAAACAAGGCTGCTATTGCTTCCTTCCATGCTGATTGTTTTTATCGTGTCAGAAGCGAATTGAGAATATGTACTGTCGAAGGCTTTCATGGCTGGAATCACTGGGTTGTTGTAGGTTTTTTGGGACTATATGGCCATGCTCTAGAAGCATTCTCTCCTGATGTTTCGCCTGCATCTATGGCAAGCATCCTCAGACCTCACAACCTCTGAGGATGCTTGCCATAGATGCAGGCGAAACATCAAGAGAGAATGCCTCTTAAAAAAACCCTATAACTCAGAATTGAGAATGTACTGTAAGTCGCTTCTGGTGTGAGAGAATCGGCTGTCTGCAAGGACGTTGCCCAGTGGACTCTATCATGTTATTTTATTTTGTTATTTCATGTGTTTATTTTGATGGTATTTTTGCTTCTTGTATTTTATTTTGCTGTGCTGTAATTTTGGGCTTGGCCTTATGTTAGCTGCCCCAAGTCCCCTTTGGGGAGATGGTGGCAGGTATAAATAAAGATGATGATGATTACATACAATATTTTGATAACTTGGTTCAGGTCACCAAGTTGTGTTCAGTGAGCCTTCAGAAAGCAAAGGGATGCCCTTTCTGATTTGTTACCATCCTGTGAGAGGCTTCTCTGTGGGAAACTGGGAAAATAAAAACTTCCTGCAAAAATAAAGTTTTTGAAGTTTAATAAACTTTTCTCCTGTGTTTATGATAGAACCAATTCGGAAATGACATTTATAACCCAGAAACAAAAATCATAGTCCAGGAGAGGAGGTTTTTCTTTTCACAAAGAAAACCGGGGAGGGACTCTCTACAAAATGATGGCAAATCAACTGAGAACTCCTGAGTAAAACAAATGGTTTGCTACTGTGTGATGGAGGTAGGGAAATAATCTATTTAATTTCAAAACGGAGCATGCCTTAGCTGTATGGTAATCTACTCTTCCAAAGACTTGGAAGTGGGATTTTTTTTTTTAATGTAGGGAGCGACTTGAGAAACTGCAAGAGTGGGATAAAGTCTTTAGTTATAACTTCTGATTCCTCTCCCTTTACGTCATTTTTTTTTTGTTTCCTGCCTAACCAGCAAGGCATGTTTTTCGCAAATTATGTCAACAACGTCGATATTTTATTTGGATTACATATTACACACAAAGCAAATAGAGCATGTTAACTTCCATTCAAATTCGACATCACAATGAGCTTATTTGGCCAATCACTGGGTTGATTACTTTAATACTAATCTTCCTACCATAAATGAAGACTAATCTCACATTCCCATTACCTTCCGATCCCAGTTTTTATACTTACTAACCCTTTAAACTTAGAATGTTTTAAATGTTCAAAATGGACATCATAGGTAAAATATTAATGCTCACTAAGAAGAATTACATTTTAAGAACTTCCAACAGATTTCAATCATTATTAACTAGAGATGTATACAACGCATGAAATGCTTATCACAATACTTCTAAAATGCAATGTATCCATATATTTAATATCACTTTTTAAACGAGTTTAAAAGAAGGCCAGTATTTATCTCAAAAAGAGGGACTTAAACCTCAAATTACTTTTTGCCCTATGTTTCTCTGTTTCTCATCCCAAATGTGGGAACCTGCGACATTTCAGATAATGTTGAAATGCAGCTCCCACCAGCCCAGGCAAGTTAGTGATGGCGGGATCATTGGAGTTGAAGCCCAAGACTATCTCGAGCAGGGCTTCTTAAACTTTATCCACCCAAGTACATAGATATATAGGGTAGATCTTAAAAATAAACCATTTACTGATAAGAAACCAGTATTTGCAAGGCTTGCTAAACAAGCTGATTTTCCTTTTTGTGGTGTACAGCTGAAGCAGATTCTGCAGAGTCCACTGTTGTATGTTGTTGACAAATTTGTGCAAGTAGGTAGCATTCAGAAACCTTTACTGTTGCCAATTTTTGTGACTCCAATATTGAGCTAAAGGGGCCCCATTTGGTATTGGGACCCACAGTTCAAGAAGCAGTGCTCTAGAAGCCACGGGGATTTTATTGTTAACTGAGTTGGGTTAAAGCTCTCTTTTGAATAGAACATTACTTATATCCAATTCATAAAGTAATTGACTTATTTAGTGGTAGAAACATGTTCAATGTTTGGCAAATAGCTGAAATACTCAGACCACTCATTATTGCAATATTCTTTTTCTTTCATACCTATTTCCATTTGTTACCACCCATTATTCAAGCTAATTGCATGTAAACAAAAAAGAACTTTGAAATAGGTTTAATTTCAAACAGTTTTCTAAAAAAAAAGATAGCAAGTTTATTTTCCCTATTAAAGCTAATTTCACAACAAACCTGATCTATTTTTATGCAAGTGTACATATAACCCCAAAACAACAACTACTATGTTTAATAGGGTTTACTTATAAGTTCACTGTGCATTTTGACTGCAACAGTAACTATGCATGGTGAGATGTGTGTGTAAAAAAGCAGGACCTAAAAAGCAGTGTTTCTAAAGCCGGTTCTCCACCTGAAATACAGGCACATTTTTAAAACTGGTTTATTGTGCAGTGCGATGATGTTCTCAGGAGTTGACCAAAATATTTTGATGCCTGAGGCAAACTGCTCTCTCCTTTTATGTAGAAAAGTTGACTATAAAGCTGAATTTTATTTCCATATTGGTACCCAGACTGCATTTTCAGGCCACCTGAAGGCAGCAGGGCAATGTATGTGTGCACAGCTGATCACATCCCACATATAACTCTGTCCATCATGTGCCTCCCCATCTTATAATGGGCCATCCCTGGGTACATCTACACTGTAGCTTGACACCACTTTTATTGCTATGGCTCAATGCTATGGAATCTTGGGAGCCATAGTGTGATGAGGCACCAGCACTCTTTGGCAGAGAAGGTTAAAGACCTTGTAAAACAACAACTCCCTGAATTTCAGAGCATTGAGCCAAGGCCATTAAAGTGGTTTCAAGTTGGATTAATTGTACAGTGTGGATGCAATCCCAGACTCTTGTGAGGGAAGGTTGTTATATGCACAGCAGATAATATGCATATTTCAATAGTTTAACAGTTCTGCAAAATTTAAATTTATGCAGCTAGATTCTGGAATATACTGATTACTTGATCATCTCAAAATGCCAAGATGGTGTAGGCTAAATAATTGTATTCCAGCTTCTTATCATTAATTGCTAAATTATAAATCCAACCATAATTAGATTAGATGTTTTTACACGGTGTGTGCTATAAGGTTACACAATTCATTCCGTCTGATATTAACATTACACAGTTCTCCTAACCTTATCAAAGTGGTTATTAATATGCTAGTTGACAATTACAGAATGTAAAAATTACAAACCACTGCAAGCATTTTGTGAGGAATCAAATGTGTACAAATGCCACCTTAATCATTACTTTTGGAAACCTCCAGGTGGCTGCCTTTCATTTCTGAATCATCATATTTGATGTTCTGACACCTAACACGGATCTGCTTATGAAGGAAGAGCATTAGGAGGTTCACTTTAGAAGCTTTCTCATTACATTAAGGGTAGATCGCCGGTATTGTGTCCCAAAATGATTCCAGTGGTTAATATAGTTAAATAGCTGATAAAGCTTATTGCGTTTTTCAAAGCCTGGAGCCTTGGGGATTTTACTGTGGTAAGCAGAAAAGAAGGAGCTACTAAAGCCACCAAACATCATAGAAATTGCAAGTTCAAATTCTGAATGGCCATAGAAGCAAGCAGGGTCAAAGAGAATTGGACTGGAGTCATCTTCAGCTACATTTCCTGCCCAGAGGTCCCCATGGATGAGAGCAGGAATGATTTCCAGGTCGCAAAACATCTCAGGAATCTTTGGCTATAAAAAAAATAAAAAGAATTTTTTAAAAATCTAGCAAGCAGAGCAAATGCAACCCCGAATATTGCAATTTTATTCTCCTCTCCCAGTGTGTGAATTGTACATATTAAGAATGGTATTGCTTTGACTACCATAATTTGTCCTACTTCCCTGGCTAAGCCTGGCAAACTAAGGATAAATTGAGGTTAATATACATTTTTAATTGTCTGAAAATCTTTTCCCCCTCAAATCACAACTGATGGGGTAGGAGGGAAAATGCTGCATTTGTAGTTTGGTTGAGGCTCTAGTAGAAGAGCACTCTGGCTGAAGATTCCAGGCCATAGTTAAGGCTATAGTGGTCAAACTCCCAAGAAACGAAATGCCATAGGATCTTTATGCTTCTAATAATTCAGAAAGGTACAGAGGAATTGCTTGAATTCAGAGACTTTTTTCCCCAAACAGAAGCCCATTTCTACTTGACAAAGAAGCTTAACTGAATTCTACCACTACTCAAATCCCTCTATCCATCACAGGTCAATCCACAGGGGGGCCCTTAACCCTCAAGACCAGCTTTTGGGAGACCCAAGCAGAGAAAAACCAAGTGCCCTTCTACACTGCCATATAATCCAGACTATCAAATCAGATAATCCATCTGGATTATATGAGTCTACACTGCCTGCATCAATAGGAGCATAGTGTCTAGATCCAGGGAAGTAATGCTCCCCATGCTCTATTCCGCTTTGGTTAGACCACACCTGGAATATTGTATCCAATTTTGGGCACCACAATTGAAGAGATATTGACAAGCTGGAATGTGTCCAGAGGAGGGTGACTAAAATGATCAAGGGTCTGGAGAACAAGCCCTATAAAGAGCGGCTTCAAGAGCTGGGCATGTTCAGCCTGAAAAAGAGAAGGCTGAGAGGAGACATGATAGCCATGTATAAATATGTGAGAGGAAGCCACAGGGAGGAGGGAGCAAGCTTGTTTTCTGCTTCCCTGGAGACTAGGACGTGGAACAATGGCTTCAAACTACAAGAGAGGAGATTCCATCTGTACATTAGGAAGAACTTCCTGACTGTGAGAGCCGTTCAGCAGTGGAACTCTCTGCCCCGGAGTGTGGTGGAGGCTCCTTCTTTGAAGGCTTTTAAACAGAGGCTGGATGGCCATCTGTCAGGGGTGATTTGAATGCAATATTCCTGCTTCTTAGCAGGGGATTGGACTGGATGGCCCATGAGTTCTCTTCCAACTATGATTCTATGATTCTATATAATCAAGTTCAAAGCAGATCTGGGTTTTTTATGGCAGTGTACAAGGGGCCCAAGACACCTTTACAGTATGGGAAGAATCCCATCCCATCCAAAATATTGTTGTCACCAGTCAAGAAATGATTTATATTGCTTTAAATTACTGGTATTTTGATATGGTTGCATATTTAACAATGTTTAAACTTTGTTACTGAAGATGTTTTCATTTGTGTATCTTGCTGATACTTTGTGTACTAGGCCCCATTCAGAACAAAGGTGAGATATACAGTATATTAAATAAATAGCTATTATTCTTCCATTAAACCAGAATTGCGAACAAGGTTACAGTTTTTTGAACTGTGCAAATTATGTATAGTATTCCCAAGCATGAAAAGCAGTTCTAAAGTTTGAATACAGAAGGACAACTAGGCAACAGTTGGTGTAGCAGAGGCACGTTGAGGCCTCATCTACACTGCCATATAATCCAGTTTCAGAATGCAGATTAATTGCATTGAACTGGATTATACGGCAGTGTAGATGGGATCACGTACTGTCATGATTTATTTATTTATTTACTTCACAAGTGTTTCAGACAAGGCAAAGTATGGGCTCAGGCTTCTAGGAAACTATGTGTCCTACATATTGCCTATTCCACTTGAAAGATGATCCCAGAATTAAAAGAAGGTCTATTAAGGTCAGCCCTCCCAAGGCTCCTGGTCTGGGAATTGCTCATAAGCAACACCATCTATGACCAAGAGAAGATCTGGTAGCAATGTAAGGTAGAAACATCACACCTGTAGCAAAAACATCCATCAGAGTAATGTGAAGGGAAGGGACCAAAATGCAAGCACACCTGGATTTTCGCTTATGTAGATGTTTGGCTCCTCTCTGCTTTTGCAATCAGGCATCCTAGCATTTTTTTTCAGTACCTTTAGTTGAGTCCACAATTCTCTTGCTTCTCTGTCCCCATAATCTCTCTCAATCAAATCCATTTGGGCTTGGAGCCGGTGACGTACAAAGAAAGTCGGCCAGTCACTTTGCCATTCATTTACCTACAAAATAAAATAAAAATATTCTAGAAGGAAACAGTTCTATATAGAGCATGGCTGAGGAACAAGAGCCCCTTGGGATGTTTCTGGATTTACCACCAGAACAGCCAATTGTGAAGAATGATGGCAGCTGTATATAAAAAAGGCAATATATTCCCCAAACTTTGTACAGAGCTGCAGTGGGAAACATGCAAACCTGTGCTATTTATGTGGCTAAAAGGTCATCTCAGAAACATTTCTTTATTTAAAAAATCTCAGCAGCCCTTGGGAGCAAAGGATTACTTCTTTTTTGCCTTTGGCCTCTAGACCATTTTAGGCCCATCAGAGACCTTTTTCACAATTTGATGTAATAAAGAAGCTGGTTTTTGGGTCACTTCTCATTAGTAAACATTTCTCCTAACTCTAAAATGATTCACAGTGGACCAATATATGGAGAATCCGTCCTCAAGGAAGCATGCCAGAGTAGGAAGAATGAAAACATGGGAATGGAGAATTAGGACTATAGCTCTTCAATGTTCCCAGACGAGCCAGTGCAATCCCCTAACCCTTGATAGTTGAATACCAGTGCCATGGCTTCTTAAATGTTTCTACCCAGTATCCCTTTTGGCCCAAGACTTTTTGTGTGATCCCAAGTATATAGGTAACAAATCAGCATTTGGAAGTCTTTCTAAACAGGCCAGTTTTTGTTTTTTATGAAGTACAGTTGAAGCATCTTCTGTAGAGTCTACTGTAAACATTGCACAACAGATTCGTGTAAATATCTAAAACAGCAACAAGGTGGCATTCAGAATTTTTTTGGGGACCCAACATTAATCTAAGACAGTGGTTCTCAACCTGTGGGTTCCCAGATGTTTGGCTTTCAACTCCCAGAAATTCTAACAGCTGATAAACTGGCTGGGATTTCTGGGAGTTGTAGGTCAAAATACCTGGGGAACCACAGGTTGAGGACCACTGATCTAACAGGACCTGGTTAATCGGTTAATAATAATAATATCACTTTAGTTATATTCCGGCCTTCTGCCCGAGGAAACTTTGAGCATATTACAACATATAAACAGAAATATATACCTGAGATATATAACCACAGCAGGTAACTGTATGGAATCCAAACTTGTCCACATAGCGAGGTTCTGTCAGGCCTGCAAAAAGCCCTGCCCCTGTCAAATAAAGCAAACTGATCAAAGTAAAAGGACGAGTGTGAAAACAGCCCCTTCTTCTACTAACAAAGCAAGTGTGGCCCCTTCTACACTGTCCTTATATTCCAAGATCTGATCCCAGGTTATCTGCTTTGAACTGGATTTTATGAAGGCCCTTCCACACAGCCCTATATCCCAGAACATCAAGGCAGAAAATCCCACATTTGCTTTGAACTGGGTTATCTGAGTCCACGCTCAGATAATATGGGATTTCCTGCCTTGATATTCTTGGATATAAGGCTGTGTAGAAGGGCACTGAGTCTCCACTGCCAGATAATTTGGGATCATATCCTAGGATATAGGGCAGTGTAGAAGGGGCCGGTCTGGATACTCAATTGAATAGCATTCGCGCCCCGGTTATAGGCCTGCAACTTTACATCCTAAAGTATGAATTATAAACACACTTTCCTGACACTAAGCCCTAATTAAATCAAAGTGGGACATAAATCTGAACAGGCATGCAAAACATTGTGCAGGAAACAATTGTTTTTGCAGCATTCTTTATTACTGTAATCAAAATGAAAGTGAAATAACAACCTTGAAACATTATAGGAAATATGTATTTTATATAAAATATTGCTCTGTGATAATATAGATGCAAAAAAGGTAATGTTAATATGCATTAATGGGCCTCTCAAATTTAATACAGAAAACATGGTTGTTTAAATCCAATTAATGAAAATTGAGATTAAAGGTACCTCATTTTTTAGAAACCCAGATTAGCGGGTCATGTAGGATTAGCAGGTTATATAGGAGCAACTATTAGACAGCTACAACAGACCACAGGGTGTAAACACTGTCAATACTTTACCAACTCTATTTCCTTCTTTGTTTAATTTTTCTCCAAGTCTTTGGTTATAAAGATGAAGATCTGCTACTTGTTCTCCAAGCTTTGAAGAATATCTATAAGGGGGGCAAAACCCAAGCATTATTTTTTCCCAAATATGTATTGTTGAAATATGTATTCCAAATAGTTTTTATTAAATGTTTACTGGGATAGTGGGGGTGTGGGGACACGGGAAGGCAAAGAAATCATTTGGGTATAAAAGATTAATTATTGGTTAGTTGCATCTTTACAAATGTCTAGTGTGTCACGAGGGGGGAAAAAAAGAGGGTGAGGGTTGTTAAGGTATGGGGCATTCTTTTACAAAATTTCTACAGTTACATTGCCCGGTGGTGCAATGGGTTTGTGTTGGCAGGACTGGTGATCGACAGGTCAGCAATTCAAATCCGGGGACAGCAGGTAGAGCTCCCTCTGTCAGCTCCAGCTCCCAATGTGCGGAGATGAGAGGAACCTCCCACAGGTATGGTAAAACATCAAACATCTGGGTGTCCCCTGGGCAACGTCCTTGCAGACAGCTAATTCTCTCACACCAGAAGCAACTTGCAGTTTCTCAAGTCACTCCTGGCACAAAAAAAACTATTACAACTAAGTCTTCATCTCTATTTCTTTAACACATATTTCATAAAATATTGATGATTCTAACAATTTTATTTTTAAGTCAATTGGTTGTATCTTCTTATGTCTTCTCACATTGTCTCCTGGTTTTCATATATTCTTTTCCAGTTCTTTAATAGAAATTAGACTTAATTTTTTCATAACAGAATATTTCACATTAAATCTTTTCTTAAATGTATTATTGTTAATATCTACCAGATCTCACAACCTCTGAGGGTGCCTGCCATAGATGTGGGTGAAATGTCAGGAGAGAATGCTTCTGGAATATGGCCTTATAGCCCGGAAAATTCATAGCAACTCAATGATTCTGGTCATGAAAGCCTTCGACAACACATCTACTAAGAATGTTCTACACCGCTACCTTCCAACCAAGGCAGTACCTATTGATCTACTCACATTTACATGTTTCAAACTGCTAGGTTGGCTGAAGCTGGGTCTAACAGCAGGAACTCACCCTGCTCCCTGGATTCAAACCGCCAATCTTTCCGTCAGCAAGTTCGACAGCTCAACAGTTTAACTTGCTGCACAACCAGAGGGCCTTTTAACATATAAAATGCACAATACAAAACCCAAGCATTATTCATCAAAAGATATCACACCCATCCCAAAAGTTTATTGACCTTACCTAAGAAACAAGAGATTTCATGCATATACATATGATACATTAAGAAATATACTTGAAAACCAAAACGACCTTACCATAAGGAAGAATTAGAAACCCTAGAACTGTTTTTAAGGCTGAGAAAAGCTGAACAATCTTGGATTTTTTTTTTTACACACCTTGTAAAAAATTTCTTTTTCAGAAATGTCCAATTGCTATCCTCTTTTTCATGCCTCTAACAGGTCATTTGTCAAAGTTTTCTTTAAAATTTCTTCTTGGGATCAATAAAGATTTTAGAATTATCAATAAAAATTAGCATTTCCAGTTTACATGTTTGACTACCACAGAACTCTTCTCTATGTAGACACACAAAATGGATTCATCCATCCTCATTCCATATACATATATTATCTTCCCAAATTCCAGACTGGTACGATATAATGGAGATCACAGGACAACCCAGATAAATAAGACTTTTACCATTAAAGTCTTACTAATATGGCCTGATATGTAAAACCAGTCATGAGGCTAGTTTTTGTAAATATCTGAGACAATAGCAATGATTTGAGCTGAGAAAGCGGGGGGGGGGGGGGGGGCCATTAAGAGAGTCAGCCCAGAACAAGCAGGATGAATTGGATTATTGTGAGTTCCTTTGGGCTCTTTTGCATTCTGTGCAGTCTGACAATAACTCATTCCTCTAGAGGACAAGCCTGCTTGCAAATTTTCTTGGAACTATCCCAACATCCTCATCTAGCGCTTCCAAGCCTCAACAACTCACACAACAATCGGGCATCACCCATTGGCCTTTATGTATCAGATGAGGAAGGAACTAGGGAAAGAAATAGCTCAATACATTTTAAATAATGGAGGAAGAAATGTTATGGAAGGTGTGAGGGATTTTTGTAAACTGTTGCGGGTTATATTTCAAAAACAATTAGTACATCTCTCAGGATTAATTGTCAGGGGTAGAAAGGGCTCAAGCTAATAGTGTGCAGGAAATGTAGTTTTTCTCTGGATGCATCTACATTGGAGATATAATGCAGTTTGACCTTACTTTAACTGCCATGGCTCAATGCCATGGAATCCTGGGAGTTATAGTTTGGGGAGGTACCAACACTCTTTATCAGAGAAGACTAAAAGCTTGTAGAAAAACACCTCCTAGTATTCCATAGCATTGAGTAAAGGTAAGAAAGGAAAAGGTTTTCCCTTGACATTAAGTCTAGTCGAGTCTGACTCTGTGGGGTGGTGCTTATTTGCATTTCTAAGCCAAAGAGCAAGAGCCAGCGTTGTCGGTAGACGCCTCCAAGGTCATGTGGACGGCACAACTGCATGGAGCACCATTCCCACCAGAATGGTCTACTCACATTAGCATGTTTTCGAAGTGCTAGGTTGGCAGAAGCTGGGGCTAACAACAGGAAATCATCCCACTCTCCGGATTCAAACCTTTCAGTCACCGAGTTCAGCAGCTCAGTGGTTTAACCCGCTGCACCATCAGGGGCTCCTGAGCAAAGGTAGTTCAAGTGATATCAAACTGCGTTAATTCTACAGTGTGGAGCACCCTCTCTTTCTGATTTCCCTCTCTCATCCAGTGGCCAGACTATTCTTCCCACGGCAGGTTGAATGCAAAATATTTGAAATTAGGTTCCTGGGTTTAATATATGCCTCATGGAAGTAAAAAAAATCTAAACACAACACTCTAGTTTTAACTATATTCACAATTCCTGTGAAGTGTTCCTGCCACCATTTTTTTCATCAGAAAGCCACATATAAACTATAAATGACATTTCAGTAGCTTCTCCATAGCTATTGTATATATTCTTAAATCAACTGAATGGCAAACCGAGGTCAAAACCTTTTAAGATTTCATAGATGTTAACATCTTGAGAAGTGTGAAGGCTGGCTATCAGCCGAGTGAGCTGGAAGGGGCCAGTCTTGCCTAAACATTCTGTACAAAATTGCATGGATATTCTCAGACCGCTTGGCAGGTACCTTGAATTGTCAAAAGGCAGAGTACATGCTGTTGACGTAAGTCAAGGGAAAAGTTCCTGCCTGGCATAACTTCACTTAAGTCATCCCAAAACATGATGTGGGCGCGAGCTTGTTAATTCCTTTGAATTTATTTTACTTCCAGGGAGATGTTATCTAAAGACACTCAAAGAACTGCCACGAAGAGGCGACATAACACAGATGTAAACCATGAGATCAAAACAGTCTAACAAAGCCAGTGGTGCTCCCCCCCCCCCCCCATACACACACACAAAAGAAACAGAAAAACATACTTGCTGAGACTCTTCATCTTCAGAAACTCCATAGCAAATGCTGCTCCACCTCCAGGGAGATCAATTACTTTAATTGGATTTGGGACACGCACAGTGTTGGTCTGCTGGATGGCTATCAGGCTGGCCATTTCCCCCTCAAACATTGTCCTAGCCTGATTAAAAAAATAGAACTGAATGGAGAAGCAATCGTTTTGGCTGCTTCTGTGGTTTGCTTGTTTTGTTTTTGTAGACATAGCGTTTGCTATTAATGCCCTGTCTATCCTCAGGGACATCAACATGGGATAAATATTTATTTTTTTCACCACTTTATTCTCACAACAAGTTTAGGAGATACTGACAAGTCAAGGCTGTGAGAGAGAGCATGGTGAAAAGGATCCATTAGGTTTCGTGGCTCAATGGAAGCTCCCAATTTCCAATATAACTCTTCATCACTACATAGTTTGTAGTGAGAGAATAGTTTCATTGGGAATAATTTGTTTGTTTACCACATTTATATCCTGCCCTCAACCCCGAAGGGGACTCAGGGTGGCCTTACAAAGGCAACAATTCAATGCCATATGTTAATACATTGGTAAATAAACAAAAACACATTGAAAACATATCATTAAAACATCAATTAAAACACATGATCCAAATCGTATTCCAGGGCCGGTCTGAATTGTCATTATATTAATCTGTAGTCTCGTATTGCAATACTCCCATTACTGGCTGAAAACCTGACCCTAGAACCATGTTTTCAGTTTTTTTCCTAAAGGTCAAGAGGGATGGGGCAGATCTAATTTCACTGGGGAGGGAGTTCCATAGCCGAGGAGCCAGCACTGAAAAGGCCTATCTCTCGTTCCCACCAGTCATGCTTCTGAGTGGGGTGGGACTGAGAGCAGGGCCTCCTCGACGATTTAACTTCTGAGGTGGGTCGTAGAGGGAGATATGTTCAGACAGGTAAGCTGGGCCAGAACCGTTTAGGGCTTTATAGGCTAAAGCCAGCACTTTGAATTGTGCTCAGTAGCAGACTGGCAGCCAGTGGAGCTGATGTAACAGGGGAGTTGTGTGCTTCCTGTATGCCACTCCAGTGAGCAATCTGGCTGCCACCTGTTGGATTATTTGAAGCTTCCAAACAGTCTCCAAAGGCATCCCCATGTAGAGCACATTGCAGTAATCTATTCTCAATGTAACAAGAGCGTGGACCATGGTGGCCAAGTTTGACTTCCCAAGATATGGGCACAACTGGTGTACAAGTTTTATTTGTGCAAAAGCACCCCTGGCCATTGTGAAATCTGGGGTTCCAGGCTCAGCAATGAGTCCAAGATCACTCCCAAGCTATGAACCAGGGGCAGTGTGACCCCATCTGACACAGGCTGTAATCTTATAGCCTGTTCGGCCTTACAACTGACCAGGAGGATCTCTGTCCTGTTCACCCTTATCCTGACCATCACAGCTGCCAAGGTTCGGGACCTAAACATTCTTATGCATGTCATTCGTTCAGATCTGTAATCTACTCCCTCCCAAGGATTAATATACATAATTACATATATCCCAAAATGGTGGAACAGATATTCACAAGGAGGGGACAGGAACGTTCCTTAGTCCAGTGGGCCAATCCTTGGTGTCCACGGGAGCTTGATTTCAGGATCACTGGCACCACCAGGATACCAGCACTTGTGGATGTTCAATCCCCATTATATACAATGACATAATAAAACTGTGTTCCTTATATACAATGATACCAGATGAGAGACTCTCTCCTGGGAACACAGAAGACTGGATGACCTAGAAGGCACTGAACAAGCTGCACTCTAGCATCACAAGATGCAAAGTTAACCTTAAGAAATGGGACTACAAACTGGAGTCCACAACATGCAAGTACGGAGAAGAGCAAACCATTGTAAATATATACAATAAAAAAACAAGGTTTGCTTTCTGCATTTTTTGTTTGTTTGTTTGTTTTGGTGGGGGGAATTTTCAGAACCTGGATGGGTTTAATCCAGGGATACAGAATCTGTGGATACAGAGGGCCAGCTCTACTTCAATAAGTTTGACACAATGTTTTATCTTGTGAAAAATGCTTCTTCTAGAGCAATTTGAGCACCATGGCAATCAGAAACTTTATTTGAAATAGTTCGTGCACACTTTTTCCTACAGGATCTATGGAAAGATAATCAATTTCTCAGATGGGTGAAAAATCAATAGAATAATGTGCTTGCAATGGATGATATAGGGTTCATCGAAGATGTAGAATGAATGCAGCTTGACACCAGCCTTAACTGCTTTGGGATCCTGGGAGTTGTGGTTTTACAAGCTTTTTAGCCTTCTCTGCCAAATAGTACAGATGTGCCATTAAACTCTAAATCCTAGAATACCATAGCATTGAGCCATGGCAGTTAACGTGGTGTCAAACTGCATTAATTCTTTAGTGAGGCTGTTAAAGGCTCCTCCCTAAACTACAAACCCCAGAATTCTGCAGGAGGCAGAATCCAGATTTTAAGTGGATTTTTTATCTCTAGTGTGATGAAGATATAGATCAGGCATGGGCAAACTTTGGCCCTCGAGGTGTTTTGGACTTTAACACCCATAATTCCTAACAGCCCACTGGCCTGACATAGATAGATAGATAGATAGATAGATAGATAGATAGATAGATAGATAAAGTTAGGCAGGATAGATAGATAGACAGATAAGAGAGGGAAGGAGATAGATACGATTGGTCAATGGTTCTCAACCTTCCTAATGCTGCAACCCCTGAATGAAGTTCCTCATGTTGTGGTGAACCTCAACCACAACCTTGTTTTCATTACTACTTCATAACTGTAATTTTGCTACTCTTATGAATCGTAATGTAAATATCTGAATTGCAGGATGTATTTTCATTCACTGGACCAAATTTGGCAAACATACCCAATACGCCCAAATTTGAATACTAGTGGGGTTGGGGGTGATTGATTTTGTCATTTGGGAATTGTAGTTGCTGGGATGCAGTTCACCTACATCCAGAGAGCACTGTGGCCTCAAACAATGATGGATCTGGACCAAAACTTGGGATGAAAACTCAACATGCCCAAATGTGAACACTGGTGGAGTTTGGGGAAAATAGACCTTGACATTTGGGAGTTGTAGTTGTTGGGATTTATAATCCACCTACAGTCAAAGAGCATTCTGAACCCCACCAACGATAGAATTGGGCCAAGCTTCCCACACAGAACCCACATGACCAACAGAAAATACTGTGTTTTCTGATGGTCATTGGCGACCCCTCTGACGACCCTCCCAGAGTTCCCGACCCCCAGGTTGAGAAACACTGTGATAGGTCGATAGAATGGAGAGATACATAGATTCGGGGCTTCACCACACTAGAGAAAAAAATCCACTTTAAATCTGGTTTCTGTAACTTGCAGGAATCTGGGGTTTGACGTTTAGGGAGGAGCCTTTAACAGCCTCACTAAACTACAAAGCCCCAGAATTTTGCGGGAGACAGAAACCGGATTTAAAGTGGATTTTTCTCTAGTGTGATGAAGCCCCGAATCTATGTATCTCTCCATTCTATCTACCTATCGCAGTGTTTCTCAACCTGGGGGTAGATTGGTAAAGTTGACATGACTAATAGATTGAGTGGTCGAGAGATGGGTTAGGTAGGTGAGTCGGGAAGGGCTTCCTTTGGGGAGGGCGGGCGCTTCACCTGGGCCTTGCCGTTGACTTTAACGAAGACCAGCCCGGCGTCGGTCTCGTAGGCTTGCCCTTGGCTGATGCACCCGCCTCCCGAGCTTTTCCCAAACGGAGCCAGGAGGCTGGTTTTGAGCCCGCTTTTCAGCGCTTTCTCCATGGCGGGTGGCGAGGGTGTCAGCCCTGCAGGAGGGAGAGAGAGAGAGAGAGAAGCCCGAGAGAAGTCAACAAACAAGCGGGCAGATGACGCCGCGGCAAACACACCCGCGGAAGGCGGGGGGAGGCTTGCCAAAAGTGGGTCGCCGGGAGGAAAGGGAAAAGGTCGGTCAGGGGAGGTGGGTCCTGCACGAGAAGGATCCCATTTGTCGAAACTGAATTGTGCCAGAAGCACTTCCACAAAACACAGCATTATTATTATTATTATTATTATTATTATTATTATTATTATTATTATCCGCAGTCGAATGGGTTCAGGAGGTTAATCTGGAAAGCCTTGCTCAACTGGCCAGAGAGCTTCTGGGATGTGTAGTTCGCCAGACCGATTATTTTTTTCCACGCCACGAAAAGTGACCCTGCTGTGACAAGGAAACGGTAGAGGGAGCACGCTTCCCTTTCAGCCGCAGAGAAATGATGATTATCACCGGAGGGAAAAGCAGGCAATCTTGCATTGCTACCATATAGCGACTGGGTTGTTGTAGGTTTTTCATGTTCTAGAAGCATGCTCTCCTGACGTTTCGCCTGCATCTGTGGCAAGCAACCTCAGAGGTTGTGAGGTTTGTTGGAAACTAGAAAAATTGAGTTTTCCTACGGACAACGCAGGCTCTTTGTCTTAGAAAGGGAGATGAGCACCAACCCCCTTTACCTTTTTTATAATGCAGTTTGGAATTGCATTCTATGATCAGTGTAGATGGAACCTTGGAAATGGGACCCAAGTCGAAATACACAATTCTATTATTAGATAATAGAATTATCCTTGTTTATGTTTCATATACACCTCCTACATGTACCCTGAAGTTTGTTTTTAATCGTGTCACAATCGAATTGAGAACATACTGCAAGTGGCTTCTGGTGTGAGAGAATTGGCCGTCTGCAAGGGCATTGCTCAGGATATGCCTGGATGTGTTGCCATCCTGTGGGAGGCTTCTCTCATGTTCCCGCATGGGAAGCTGGAGCTGACAGGCAGGAGCTCACCCCACTCCCTGATTTGAACCATCAACCTTCAGGTCAACAGTTCAGCTGCCACAAGGGTTTAACCCATTTATTTATTATTTACTTCATTTCTACCCCACCTTTCTTGACCCCAGAGGGGACCCATTGTGCCACCCCGGCTCCTGCCCTAAAGGTAATTTATATAACATTTCTTGGTATCAGAGCCCCCATATACAGTTTCATATTACATTATATGGCATGTAGATGGAGCCAAAATCAAAGTTGCTCCTAACTGCACTGCTGCTCCCAAGTTTCTCTTGGGGCAGCTTACATGGGGACAAGCCCGAGCAAATATCGTTAAAATATAACACATTAAAATTTATAAAACAGCATCAAAAAACAAAATAAAACAAGATCATTTCTCTGAAATGACAGAACCCAGTCTTCATTAGCTGTTTCCTCTCCAAGTATTAACCAGGGCTGACTTGCCTTGCCTCCAAGATCAGACTGGCGCTTAGCTATTAGGACAGGCAAGTGGCAAATAATAAGAAGAAGGAGGAGGAGGAGGAGGCGGCGGCTCTGGCATAAACCAATACAAGTGGTCCCAGTGGTCATTGGCGTACTGGGTGCCATGCCAAAAGATCTCAACTGTCATTTGGAAACAATAAATATTGACAAAAATCACGATCTGTCAATTGCAAAAGGCCACCTTACTTGGATCTGCACACATAATTTGAAAATACATCACCAAGTCCTAGACGCTTGGGAAGTGTTCGACTTGTGATTTTGTATACGAAATCCAGCATATAGATCTCGTTTGCTGTGACATACTTTGTTTTTGTGTCAGTAAAAAAATAATAATAATAATAATAGTAATAGCTATCCAAATGGCCTGTTCTTCATGGAGCATTTCCTGCAGTTCAACTTGCCCTCTAGTGGCCTTCTGAAACAATTGGGAATTGGGTGTAGTTTGCCTCACCATTGCAGACCCATTTGTTTTCATGGACAGTTAATAAACACTTTTAGATAGGTTGCGGGTAAATGTGTGCATTGCAACCAGAGGAATTCCAACTAGAGAGAAAGGGCCCCAGGTCAGGTTCAGAATCTGGAGTATCCCCCAACTTTCGACCCATGTAAACAATTGGGCTGGTTCCAAGGATACACAATGGCACTTACCCTTTCCATCCCCTCCTGTTTTCTCAATCACAGTATTCTCTAAGTGGAACATCACCCTTCCAAATGGCTGCTACATGCAATTATGTCTACCAGGCAACAGGATGATTTGGGGAGGAATTGGGACAAAAAGGCTTTGTTGCTCTCATCTAACTTCTCACCCCAGCTGACATCACTGCAACCAACAGTCAACTGACAGGGCCCATGTTGTGCCAGAGACCCCTGTGACACAGAGAACAGGAGGGGACAGTAAGGGTGGCCACCTGGCAGTGCCGAACAGTACAGGTTTGGCACCACTGCCCAGTCTAGACTCCCTTCTGTCTTCATAGCAGTTGGGTAGAGTGGCTGTGAAAGCTATCCCAGGGCTGATCCAGTATACGCCATACTAGGTAAACCCTGGGATAATGGGTCAGTTTAAATCCTCTCTAAGTTAATATGTAGACTCCACAGAAAACCTTAGCAGTTTGCAAGAAATGTGTCAAGCTTTGGAAATTGGAAAGGCTGCTATTCTACTTATTGAGCTGGAGATCTGGTAACGCTAGTGTTCAAAGAGCTGAAGGAAGAGAGTTGGAAAAGAAATCTATCTGAAGCTTAGCAGAGTTCTTACTACTCAGATCATGCAATAGCAGTGTAGATGGACCTGACTGGAAAACCTTCCTCTTTCATTTGCAGTATCTCACTAAAACTGTGTTTTGTGTTCCTTCCATAGCTGACAGGTTCTACATCCTTTGGCTGATCCAAGGCTCCATTCATAATCCCTGCATTTACTTTGTTTGGAAGATGCTCTGTGGCCTTAGGAAGGGATGGAGGAAAGAGGCATGTAGAGACTCTCAGTCATTTCCTTTATGTGGTCAGCTCTGGCCTAATTTCCCCTTTAATGCCTTATCTTCTGAGTTTCATATACATCAGCTGTGGTAATGAGTCCCGGCTTAAAGAATGATTATGCAGTCTTACTCCCAGATGTTGTCCCAGGTCTAAAGAGAGAAAAATTAAAAAGCCACATCTGGTTTCATCAATACAGTAAACAAGGCTAATGTTTGGTTAACGAATTGAATTTGAGAGATAGCATCAGGGTATATCATGGAAAGAGATTTTTACAAAGCAATATCCCTCCAGATAATCCCAAATACATATGGGTGTCTTGTTATCCCAGTGATTCCATCCACCATTACCCAACCAGTGACACTGATATTGCAATACAGATTTCCTAAATCAAAAGCTTCTGTATAACAACAGTTACCCAACAGGCCCTATAGGTTAAGATGTTATTGCAAAGCAAATTTAGAAGATTAGATGGAATACAAAACAATAAAGAAAGCTTAGAAGGTGCAGGGAAAGGGCAACCAAATTGCGTATAAAACTAGCTTATAAATCACTCAACAAACTAAATTGCTTGGGGAGGAGAAGTGATCAGGACAGTGGAATAAAGACATGCTTCTGGCAGCATCATGGGAACTGCTTTCCTGTCTCAGTTTTCCATATTGTTAAGGAACTTTGCCTGTACATAGGAACCATGGAAAAACAAGACATCTTCTTTACATTACTCATATTTTCCTAGTGTTTCTGAACTCTTTGGGGGCTGCTGGGGTTTTGTTTTTTTTTTGCTCCATGTTTCCTAAACATAGAAAGATTATATCTATAGCCACGCTCACAAAGAATATAGACCACACATTGGCTTTCCAGTGATGAAATAACATGATTTGATGCATAGGTAAAGGTTTTTCCCTGACATTAAGTCCAGTCGTGTCCGACTCTGGGGGGTGGTGCTCATCTCCATTTCTAAGTTGAAGAGCCAGTGTTGTCTGTAGATACCTCCAAGGTCATGTGGCCAGCATGACTTCATGGAACGCTGTTACCTTCCTGCCAGAGTGGTACCTATTGATCTACTGTCAGGGATGCTTTGAATGCAATTTTCCTGCTTCTTTTCAGGGGGTTGGACTAGATGGCCCATGAGGTCTCTTGGAAACTCTATGATACTCACATTTGCATGTTTTCAAACTGCTAGGTTGGCAGTAGCTGGGGCTAACAGTGGGAGCTCATGCTGCTCCCCAAATTCAGGCCCGTAAGCTTTTGGTCAGCAAGTTCAGCAGCTCAGTGCTTTAATCAACTGAGCCACCGGGGGCTCCTTATTCACTGGGGACCTGATGCATAATAAGTGCCAATTGCTTTGACCTTAAATATGTTGCTGCCACTGATTATGATGTTGTTACTGCTGCCTTCTGGTATGTCCCAGTGGTTGCTTATTCCATGTTCCATTTTGAACACTGGGTTGGAGAATGAAATGGAAATCTCTCTCAATCTCGCTCTTTCTCTGACACTCACACTCTTCAGAAACCTGTTATCTGGCAACCCAACCTAGTTAGAATCATTATTTTGATCCCTTGTATAGTTCAACTCCTATCCCCTCCTGTTGGCAAGCATTATTGTTGGCCAGGCCAACAAATGTGGCCAGGCCGTTTTTCTTTAGCAAGAACAAGTATTTCAGCTACTGGCTCTTGCCACCTCCCACCAACCATTTCAGGTCATCTCAAGTCCTTTCACAGTTCAACTGAGAAGCCATCTTTGTAAATGGCCACCCCCCAGAACTCAATCAGATCGTTGGCCAAATACAGGGTAAAAGGCAATTCTTTTTATAATATAAAGTATAATATGTAAACATTTAATGCCATAAAGTGTGACTAAAAAAGCAAATAAACAAACCATAAATCAAATAACAACATATTAGACATTTTAAAGCAGTTTAAGAGCTAAAGATAGGATGCAAATTATCACAAACATAATGCGTCAGAATAATGGCAAAAACAAAGTGAGTACTATTTTTTTGTCCATGTAGACAGGGCCTGGTAAGGAATAATGGTAGAAAGTGCCTGTGTGTTATCACACCTTACAGCCCTTCCAGACAGGTCCTTTATCCCAGGATTTCTGTTTATCCCAGATTATCTGGACTCATATAATGCAGTTTAAAGCAGAAAACCTGGGATCAGATCCTGGGATATAGGGCCTATCTGGAAGGGCCCTTAGAATGTTATTGCTGTAATGTGTTTGTTAGGGCAATAGCACTTATA